ATGGTGAAACTGAATGAATGTGAAATATTTTCTGACCTTTACCTTCTCAGAGGGTTCTGACAGTAATATAGACCCCCACAAAGTTTACAAGGGTTCTTTACAAACATGCACAAAAACTATCATATATATATGTCTTTGGTTGATGAGTGCCAAGAGAGCAAAGAAGGGACGAGATTGTCAAAGCGTTAAAACACGCCAACGCCAGGGAACGGCTGGCATCGTCCGGGCGTTAAAACACGCCCGCGCCAGTCAAAGAGTTAAGCACTATTCCATGAAGGTGTATGGGGGGTGGATGTGTAGATCCACATTTTCGTGTCCTCAGCACTAGCTGAAGGTGAGTGGTCAGCTTAATTCCTAGGAAAAGAGCCCCCTGGTACCCATTTGGTAGGAGGTTGGGTGGACAACATGGGGAAGAGAAAATTCTTGGCCCTACAGCGACTCAAACTCCAACACCTCTCACAAATATTACATTTCTGGACACTATCTATTGTCCTGTCTATCTAAAAACATTGTCCTCTTTTATTTTTCAAAACAACCTTTCGGAGACTGGATTCTTTCTCTGTCTTCAGGTGAAACCTACTCAGTTAAGCCCAATCGATAGAGCTAGTCCTTATCTCTGGACCTATGGAGCACCTCCAGAGATAGGGACTAGCTCTATCAATTGGGCCCAAGTAGGTTTCATCTGAAGATGGAGACAGAATCCAGTATCTGAAACACAGTTTTTTGGAAAATAAACAGGATGGTGTTCTTATGAGGGTATGTCAATAAGTAAGTTACAAATGGATATAGAACTTAAACAAATAAGAATACTGAGTTGAAAAATGCTTTTATTTCTCAACATAATCTCCCTGTACATTGAGGCACTTGTCCCATCGTTTCACAGCCCCTGAAAATTAGCAGCATAAAATTCTTTGGGCTGCTGTCGGAACCAGGCGTGTTCACACGGCATGGCCTACCTCATAATGCATGAAATGTTAGGTTTTCACAGTCTGTTCATGATGGGTGCCGTGCATGCTGACGCCACAACACAAAATGCAAAGAATGGGTCTGGCATTACAGCATCTCAATCGCTACCAAGATGGACACAATATGCTAGCCCGAATTGTCACAGATGATGAGTCTTCGGTTTACCATTACCAGCCCGAGATAAAGCATGCGTCAATGCAGTGGAAACATCCTGCGTTGCCTGCCAAAAAAAAGTTTAAGGGGACACCATCCTCCAGGAAAGTGATGCTCACAGTCTTCTGGGATCACAAAGGCATACACCTCACTGCATTCCAGCCTCAAGGACAAACCGTAAACGCCGATTCCTACTGTAACATCCTCAGGAAACTTTGTAAGGCCATTCAAAGGATGCATGCAACCTGTCATGCATTATGAGGTAGGCCATGCCGTGTGAACACGCCTGGTTCTGACAGCAGCCTAAAGAATTTTATGCTGCTGGTTTTCAGGGGCTTGTGAAACAATGGGACAAGTGCCTCAATGTACAGGGAGATTATGTTGAGAAATAATAGTATTTTTCAAATCAGTACTCGTTTGTTTAAGTTGTATATCCATTTGTAACTTACTTATTGACTTACCTACGTAGATAAAGACAGGATGATTGATAATGTCCAGAAACATAATAAGGCCCTTGAATCAAGCAGGCAAATTGGAAAATTTGAAAACAGAAATGCAGAAGAATGAGGTGTCTATTTTAGGTGTCAGCGAAGTGCGGTGGAAAGGACAAGGTGAAATAGGAAGTGGTGATTATACAGTGTATTATTCTGGAGGTGAATGGGCTGAAAGAGGTGTGGCAATAGTGGTGCATGAAATAGTAGTGAGGAGTTGCTCTGAAGTTAAAGGTGGAACCGGTAGATATACTGATTATGCAAGTGTACATACCAACATCAGAGTATGAAAATGATGAAGTGGAAAAAGTGTATGACATAATTGAAGAAATTCTTCAGGAAGATGGAAGAGGTGACACAAACAGCATCATATTAGGAGACTGGAACAGCATTGTTGGACATGAATCGTATCAGAATATTGCTGGATCACATGGACTAGGACGATGGAATCACAGGGGTCAAATGCTTATTGACTTTTGTGAAAGAAATGGACTGACTGCTACCAACACTTCGTTCAAGAAGCCAAAGAGAAGACTTTACACATGGAAGGCACCTGGGGATTGGAGGCGGCATCAGCTGGACTACATGTTTGTGAAACATTGATTCAGAAACAGTGTGAAGGAAGTGAAGACACTGCCTGGGGCAAATATTGACTCTGACCACAACTTACTGGTTGCCAAGTTTCGAACCAGGTTGAAGAAAATTATAAGATTCCAAAAGCGCAGACTTAGATGGGATTTGGAGAAGTTATATGCTCAAAGACAAAGAGTGCAGGAGACCCTAGAAGAGAAACTCAGTGCAACTGAAAGTGAAGGCAGAAATGCTGAAGTGCAGTGGAACAACATAAAAGAATTCATGTTAGATACTATCAGTGAAATGGTTGGTAAAGTTGAGAAGATAGCAAGAAAACCATGGGTTACACAGGAGATGAAGAGTAAAATGGAGGAGTGAAGGAAATGGAAGAACGTAAACAATGAAGAAGGCAGGAGGAAATACAGGAGACTGAGGAAGGAATTGAAAAGAACCACGGACAGGGTGAAAAAGGAATATCTTGAGAAGATATGTAATGAGATTATAGAATTTTAAAGAACAGGACGTTATGATTT